TAATTATTATTATTATAATCAAAGAAAGTGCTAAACCGACAAGGGTCGTACAGCGCTGGTAAATTTCCTAAGATAACCCAAAGTGCGACAAAGTAACTTATTTTCATTATATGTGTGTGTCACTATATTATATGAATCGAATCGAATCGAGGACGACGAGAGCTGTCGTAAGATGGGAAGGAAGAAGGATAAGGAAGGATGGAAATAACTGGAAAAGGATGGGGATGAGGGGAAGAGGTGGAATCAAGGCAAGTGGCCCACTATATTATATGTAGATGTGGCACTGTATGATAAGTAGGCTTGGCACTGTATTATGTAAAGGTGTGGCACTATATTATACACAGTTATGGCACAGTAGCATATGTATAGATACATGTTACAGGATTTTTTAAATGCAGATTCCAGGCCTGTAAAGATGCAGGTTCCATACTTTAATGGATAGAGGTTCCACTATAGTGGTTATACACTATATGAGTAACAGCGTATCCAGGGAGGATTTCCTGGTTCTGCAGAACATCCCCTTCTTTCTCCCCCCAATCTCTCGTAGCCCTATCTGCTCATCTGAGGTGTTTTTGATTTGCTATTTTCTCCCTCCCACAACTTTCGAACACAAGCGATTTAATTTTAATTTTATGTATGCGTTGGTAATTTCGGGTCAAGCCATGACGTTAAAACTGCCACCGCCTGCGTACCAACAAGTGTCTTTGATGTGGCGCTTCAGACGACTAGCAATTACCCCTTGATTATCACTGCAATTATTCTGATAGCAAGGAACTTATAATAATCTGTGGTACTTACATTACAAAATTCTTAGAGACACTACTGAATATGTCTAGATTTTTATAGATATAGGTTCCAGGCTTGTGTAGATACACATTCTAGGCTTGTTAATACACAGGTTCCAGTCTTCTGTACTACAAATGTGGGATCTTGGTTACAGAAGATATTGGATCCAGGTTTCAGAAGATACGTGGTTCAGGCTTCTCTAGATACAGGCAACAAACAGGCGTCCAGAAGAGGATGTGCCTAGAAATTGCAAAAAATTAAATTATATTTTTCTTGCTAGTTTATTTATAGGCAAGTTTGTTCCTTACCAACATGTTAGTGGAGAGAAAGAGAGAGATTCTTTATTCTATCTTACACTTAATTGCACATTCACCCTATCCTACATTTGTAAAAAAAAAAAAATCACACCCCACAAGTAAACTATAGCTACTGAGGAGCCAAACTGGAAATATACTCCATGTTGAGTCAGCTCGTGGTGCAAGCACTGGAGGAGGCAGTAGGGTAGGGGTGGCTGTGGTAGGGGGTAATTACGTGTGTCAGAGACTCCTATTGATCGTGAAGTGTGCCACAGAACTCCTGAAGTAACGCTCGCATCATAATTATTACAAATTACACCCTCAATCCTCGTTCTTTTGAACGCTGGAAAAGATGGAATTGAAATAAAAGGGGAACGTAGTTACTTCTTCATTAACAGTAAGATGCTTGTCGAGTTTCATCTTGCAATTATTTTTTGAAAGTGTCTTATTTTCGTGTTAAGTTTAATTAGTATTACACAGAATACTACTAAGCTTAAGGGATTAAATGCATATTTGCTTTAAACCAGTAAGCATGTATGAACCACGAACTTTGATGAGTTCCCTGGAAACACAGGTAATATAGAAATGCTTCTGTGTACCATAGATTATCTTATCTACTATTTTAAGCATGTTTTTCACGTGGAAGAAGTTCCATTTTGCTTTGTAAGTATAACTCATAAGAGAAGTGCAAATAAGTGTAATCTCAAGGTTGGTAGACAAGAAATATTTGTTTAATAATAAGATAGAACTAACAGAAACTTCATGATGGTCATTCATCTGAAAGACGTCAGGAATGTGAGGAAATGGTATGGTGATACCGACAAGATGCGGAAAAAGACACTTATGTACAGTTCAGGACATTTATTAAAGGAAACGTTTCGCCACGAGTGGCTTCTTCAGTCCTAATACCTATTAGGACTGAGGAAGCCACTCGTGGCGAAATGTTTCCTTTAATAAATGTCCTGAACTGTCCATAAGTGTCTTTTTCCACACGTCAGGAATGTACAAGGTCGTAGAACCAGAAGGAGGAGAATCACTCATGAAATGAGGAAGGAACTCCGGCAAGCAATGGTTAAAAATTTAGCAGACAGAAGGGTTAGCCGTGCATGACGACACGTGAAGGTATGGACTTCCTGTTCCAGTTATTCCTATACATATCCACAGTAAGAGTCGCACTGCAAGAAGTTCTTAAACTGCATGAAGTAAAACCACAGAAATTATGCTATCCTACCTTATCGTCGACAGCATCTAACATTCAGTCATATAATTAAGGCAACAAAATGGAGAAAATGAACCTCCTGGCCCCCTGCCCTACATCTGACCTAGGTGCACACATTCACCTGGCCCCCTGCCCTACATCTGACCTAGGTGCACACATTCACCTGGTCGCCTGCCCTACATCTGACCTAGGTGCACACATTCACCTGGCCCCCTGCCTTACATCTGACCTAGGTGCACACATTCACCTGGTCGCCTGCCCTACATCTGGCTTAGGTGTGTGTTTTCTTAAAACACACACACACACACACACACACACACACAAACACACAAAATATATATATATATATATATATATATATATATATATATATATATATATATATCAATAACAGCACTGCACTAGCCAAGGACTCGAACCCATGTTGTACTGGCCCGCCTCATGGAGAGCTAGAACCACATGACGCCTTAACCCACAGGACTACCCAATTCTACAAAGATGGTGCAGCCAGCAGAGCTAGCTGTTTTACCGCCATCCGAGGACCTTCGGTGTCGTGGAAGCTTCTAGGCTAATTTTCATTATCATCATGAGGCGGGCCAGTACAACATGGGTTCGAGTCCTTGGCTAGTGCAGTGTTGTTATTGATCATTACCACTCGTTCGTGGTTACAGAAATATATATATGCTGCTTCGTGGACTAGTACACCATAAAGGAATGAGAATGAAAATGGGATGAGAATGTAAAAGAAGAGAAACTTCATTTCTTATTTCTTCGGGTCACCTTGCCTCGGTGGGAGACAGCCGGTGTTAAAAATTTATTTAATACTATTACTACAACAACTATTAATTATTATTATTATTATTATTATTATTATTATTATTATTATTATTATTATTATTATCATCATCATCATCATCATCCTTATTTGCAAAACTCCAACTAATTTCATTCCATTTTTTCAATACGGAATGATGTGTTTTTCCTCACTGCTTCACGCCAGCAGAGACCGGAGGATGGGAACGGAGCCTTCTGTTTTATTATGTCTCACCAAGCTAGATAATAGCATATATCCTCAGTCTTCTGTTATTTACCTTTCCCATTTACGCCCATGTACGATACCAGTCACTTAGTTCCAATTATTTTTTTTGCCACTTAGTTCCAGTCCTTATTCCTACCTGTTAATGCCATCTCTTGTCCTGTCACTTATCAGAACGAGAGAAGGAATAAAAAGACAGATAAATGAAAATAAAGAACAATAAAACAGCAAAATACAATACATGTCTTGATATTTTAAGTCACATAGTCTGTCAGAAAAGTTACGGAATTCCTTCAAAATGTTGTTCTACCATAAAACCGAAAGATATTTTGAGAGACTTGTGAGATATCTTGTAAATATCTATATTCAAGCACATGGATGGAAAAAAAAAACACAATCGTGTACTCTACATTGAACATGAGAGATACAAGTTCTCTTATCGCTGACCAATTAGCGTGTGTCGCGGTGCATGTGTAATGATGGAGACTTGTTGACTCTTCCCAGGACCACCTTAATTAATGGTTGCATTCTAAACTTTACGACGCGTAAACAACCGTGTAAATCACAATGTTTTTCGTATCATTTAGTTTGCTAAATATTTACAGACAGATTGGTAAAAATGCTTCCCTTCATAGTTGCGATTTACATAAAATCGTCAAAACGTAAAAACCTGAGAAGACAGGAACGTAAGCACATAAAAATGGAGCACTGTTAGGCTCGTGCAAGGTAGGGTCTTTAAAAATTTCCTGGCGTCGTAGGTCTGTCCTTAGTTTGAATAAACACATTCGTTTACCTTCAACTCTCTCTTGATATTTCATTTACTTTTAAATATTACATAGATGACAAAACACTAAGTCAGTAGGAGGGACTAGACAGCGCATGGAGAACGGGAGGCAGTCAGGTTTGATTCTAAGAGAAGAGTATCTCCAATTTCTAGGCTCAAAAACCGTTCACTACCATCAAAACAATGCCATAAATGAGTAAATTATTTATGAGTAAATTTTTTATAAGAGTAACGTACGTAAATCATTCTGGCACCAAGAGTGATTTATGTAATCATTCTGGCACCAAGAGTGATTTATGTAAATCATTCTGGCACCAAGAGTGATTTATGTAAATCATTCTGGCACCAAGAGTGATGTGTATAAATCATTCTGGCACCAAGAGTGATGTGTATAAATCATTCTGGCACCAAGAGTGATTTATGTAAATCATTCTGGCACCAAGAGTGATGTGTATAAATCATTCCACTTCAATTTTTCCCCGGCTATCTCGTTGCCAGTTTTTGTAATTTGCTTATTTGTGGCTTAATATATGTTTTATAAGTTCACTCGGCAACCTAATTTAGTCTAACCTAATGTAAATTATAACTGAAAGAATATACAATTTGAGGTAAGTTTAAAGCCTATCAACTATACCATGATACTAACACATTAAGGTATATGTCTCTCAGTGTCTGTCTACTAGTAATTTACCTTAATTCCTATTTTAGAGATTAAAGTATTCTTGACTGGCGGTGAACAGGTAAATAATGTTTGCTGTTGTATATATCTTGCTGCCCTCTGGTGCTGTGCGTCACTATACACCTCAAAGTTACCATGTAGTGACATTTGCTTATCATGGTCAAGACTTTGGATTTCCGAATTCATGACTCTTCACTACCAGCCATGAGACCCAACCAATAGTTCTTGCCACCATGTTGCTAGTGTACGTGTGTGTATTGCTGCAGGTGGGGGCGGGACTACACTTAGAAACACCCACGAAAAATTATAGGGATGATGTTGCAAGCTCGGAGGCAGCTTCCAGCGAGGAGCATCTGCATGTGCGAAAAGCTGGAGACGCTGCAGGCTCCTCCCAGGTGCATCCCGGAGAGCAGGTGCTGGCTGCCGGAGAGTTTGGTCGTTCACGCAGGTGAGCTGCGACTTAGGAAACGGTGGTTTCTTAGCCTATTGACCCTTTAAATGGGAATGTATTGATGCTGGTGAAAGGCTCTTAATACAAGGAATTAGACCTACAACTCCCCTTCCTTGGATGTAATCTCTGCCCTCTCCCTTACCCTAATCCCTCTCATTCTCCTGTAGTGACCTTACCGTGTGTAGTTGATCGAGTGACTTGTGCCTGGGGGGTAGTTTTTTTTTTTCTGGTTTGAAGGGTGCCACTTCCCACAGGCTGCGTGCCTGACTAAGAGCCTAGCATATCTTCATTCATAAATAATGGGGATATTTTCCCTTTCGTTTAAATTGGCAAACACGATGAAATAAATTATGCATTACAGAATATTAAAAATATTTTGATTAGCTTTACATGGCAGATTTCAGTTAGCAGTGAACTGATCACTAAAGTAGCAAGATGATGATAATGCAAATTTGATGTTAGAACGGGCTTATGCCTAAGTGCAGAATAACTAAATTTTTCTAGTGCATTAAAAACAAACCCCTCCTATTTCCAGCATGACCCTTACGGGTTGAGCGTTTCATAATGAAAATAGTATACTTAATATTTTGAATTTTATTTAATCTAAACCACACTACTCTTTGAAAGTGGTGCCTTTTCTGTGAAGGTCGCTCTGCTCTGAGAACCTGGGCTGGCAGTCACATACTTTCCTCTGATTACTTACTGACGGCCTGGAACTGTGATTTGGCATTAAGGTATGGATTTTGAAGTGTGACTTATGGGCATTGAATCTGATTATAATTTCTGATTATAATTTCTGAAGAATGTCACAACAGCAGGTGAGTGACAACCCATTGATGATTAATAAGCGATCTGAGCACAAGATGCTAAGGTTCTAGTGTTATTTTTATCGTTCTGTCAATAATGAGTGTTCAGCCATTAACATAAGAAAGAAGGAACACTGCAGAAGGCTTACTGGCCCATGCGAGGCAGGTCCAATTTCCCTACCGGCTTATGCCAACGCCCTAACTTAGTCAGGTCAGATCACTTTCACTTAAGTTAGGAGGACAGCAATTGACCTAGTAGCACAAGCTAGTCAGGTCCAACTCACACCCACCCGTGTATTTATCTTGCCTATTTTTAAAACCACACAACGTCTTAGCTTCTATGACGGTACTCAAGAGTTGATAACGTTTAAGAGACAGGCAAGTAAAATTCATTTCAAAGTAAAACTTTTCAATACTGCAATTCAAACACTGATCACAAGTCCTCATTTTGATGGGTAAAATAACCCCAGCTTTGCCATCTATCGGAACCTCTTGTACAAGAGTTATAAGCAGTGCATGTTAGTGTATAACTTGAGAGCAAAGTTTAGTAGATTAAATCAAATTCGTCAAATTCCTGACACTAATACATACGAAATATGTAGTCCATGGTCGGATAGCTAGGCTGAAGAAATGCTCTGCGAGCCTTGGCTCCATTTGTTGCTTGACTTTTCTTGAGCTAGCTTAATATTTCGCATCTTAATTAACAGTATTGAATGAGCCAGCAAAAGCATCAAACACGCCAGTATTTTAATACAATCTTCATGCATTGGTAATGTTTTGTCAAGTTAACAGCTTTTCTTTAGGCCATTCCATTTTACCACAAGCATCTCCTGCACCAAGAAGAGACTAATCTCTCAATTTTTTCCCCTGTAAATTACTAACTAGAATTTCCTGCTTTCCTTCCCATCAAATTTAGTAAAGCAGTCTTTCTGCTCTTGTTAGCATTTATCACCTCTAAATGCTTACACATCTCTACATTCACCTTGATACACAGCCGAAAGTAGAAGATATCTAATAGCAAAAAACCTTTGCTCTCATTATTCTTGACACACTTTCTATGCTATATTCACGTCTAAATTATTAGCATATATACATTGAGACAGTCTGCAAATTTTACATGTTTGAAACCTCCCTTTCCTCTCTTCTGTGTTTATATCTCTTTCTAAAAACATTATACAGGTGTCCACACGTGGAAAACTCATTTTAATTGGAATGCAAATGTGATTGGAACCACTGGTCTTAAAATGCAGCAGGAATTCCCATCCCCAGTTCACTTGTATACATGTGGTCTTGCAGGTATATTGGTGACGGCTATATAGGAGGACTGAAGGGCAGTAATGTGGATGAGGAAGAGGACCCGGTGACGGTGATCTTAGTCTTCTATGAGCAACTGATGATCTTGAGGAGGTCACTGCCAGCGGCATCACACTTGGCTGTACCATCAGCAAGAGACTCTTGTAAGTTAGTGTAATAGCCTGTAATTGTAATTCCAAGTTTTAGCATCCCCTAGAGGTATGGTTGATCCTCATATTTGTTAAAGGTTCCTTAAGCTCTTCTCTGTATAGATTTTATTGTAAAAGTACAGAAAGTTGATACAGATTTTGGGAATAAGATGCAGAATAGAAAAACTAAAACTTTCGGTACCAGTGAGGAAACTTTGGCCTTCACTATGTCATTGTGCATGCGTCTTTCCACAGTAGATTTTATCTATGCATTAGCAAGTTTGGGCAGTAAATTGGTAGTGCTGATCTAATCAGTTCCTCAGTTGGAGGAATCCACACACTTAAGGTCAATCTGATTTGAATAACTCTATCAAAAAAAAAAAAAAAAAAAAAAAAAAAAAAAAAAAAAAAAAACACGGAATTCAAGACAGCACTGAATTTGAAGAAAGGGAATATGATGTGTATACTGTATACCTCTTATCTGGGGTTTAGCAATAAAACGACACTAAAAATTTTAATTCTTAGCTTAGATTTAAAATTATGTAAAAAGATACTGACATTGACATAAACGTATAAACTCTTGTGAATAAACGTCAAATAATAATGAAGGTTCAATTTCTCGCTTGTATAAAACTGTTATTAAAATGTTGAAACAAAAGACTGAGGTTGTTAATAATTATGTATTTAACACTTCTCCCTGCGAGGTAAAATTGCCCAATGTCTTAGTTTTCTGTTACTAAGGGTATTATGATACAGGGAAAAAGCATCTAGTTAAATATTCTTTCATTTTCTACCATTTATAATTCATTTTATAATTTGTATTACATACGATTTTTTTTTCTATTATTGCATCATAAAACTTTCCTGATCCAGGACTCCAGCTCTTCAGAAAGAGCAGCTTCGTCGGTGGAGGCTGCTGGCCAAGCACGTTGAGGAGTTAACCTCGGTACTGGAATTCCTCAGCATCTTGGAGCAGTGTCTTGCTACTGAGGACTCGACGAAGACCGACTGGACAATTCTAAGCATAGCTCAAGGAATAGCACCAGGTCAGTTGAATTTGCCATCGTCTTTTTTTAACTTTCCGTTGCTTTTGTATATCACAAAAAAGACTAATTATGATGGTAGCATTTGCAGAAAATGAATCTTGTCAATTAAAATTCCTATCCTCTTCTCCTGTTGCTCCAATAACAGTATTAAAGTGAAAGACTTGATTATTCCTGAAGGCTTAATATCTGAGGTCATTAGGGTGCAAAATTTAAAAACCTAAGATAAATCAATATAGATGCATGGATAAAGTTCTCTTGCCTTAAGACTACAGAAGTTGTCCAAAACATTATACATAAATTATGCCGTAATCCTAGTACAATAATATGTAGTCTGTTTTGTATGCCATAAAACGTGGCATGACTGGGCAAGAGTAGGATTAGAGCATTGAAAAGAAAAGTTTGTTATAATGCAAAAAGGTTTGTCTAGACAAAGTTGGCCTAAACTAAATTCGTAGGAACGCTATGGTGTGGCCAGAACCAACTGGCGCAGGACCTGAAAGACCTGGGTATCCTGAAAGGAGTGGACCGTTGCTGCCGGTTTCACGACCTCTGCCCTGTTCAAATTGGCCCATTCAGCAAGTACAAGGGCGTAGTAAACACGTCACCCAAGACACTGTAAGACTTACCCTTCTCACTTGAATCCAATGTCATTTGGTATACAGACACAAAATATACTAAATTTGCTTTTATAGTTTGCTTATTAAATTACATTTACATGCGTTACACGAAATACTGAATTAAGCATAAAAAATGGGACATTTGAATGATGCCTAAAGTCGCAGAGAAAACTAATAATAATTCTCAACAGGAGCCACTGTGATTGTGATGTCCACTTCGCAGACTGTCTGGGTAAAGTGAAAACACTCGCCTCCCAGGTCATCTTCCACGCTTACTTCAATGTGATTTATCGCGGCGGACTGTGTGCTCGCCAAAGACACTTCATCGAAACAACGGTGTTAACAAAGAGCTTCCTTAATATGTGGGCGGATATAAGTTCCATGATTCAGTTTAGTATCCCCGAACTGTCAGTGTTCCAACAACGAAACATTGCTAGGAAAAGAAGTCTTGCAGCAGAGTTAATTGTAAATCAGTTTGCACAGACTATTCCTGGAAATTATTCAACACGGACTGTGACTGGAGGCAGTGAAGCAAGTTATGTGGCTGTTGAACTGAGTGAGGAGCCACAGTCAGCCACAGAAAGCGGTGTAAAGATCCAAAAAGAAGTAAAAACTACGTATAATGTGAAGTTCACATATAACAGTAACACAGAGGAAATTGTTCCTGTTGTCCCTACAGTTCATTCACTCGCCACTACAGCTGATCTTAACCACACCACCATAGCTGTTGATAATCAGACACTCGGTGATTGGAAAACAGAACAGGTCTTAGTACCTGAAAATCTGACAGTGATCCATGAAGAATATACCACGCAAGGCATTGGGGCTACTGAACGGATAACAGATAAACCGGAAAATAAAGAGAGCGAATTTTTGGCTCATTATAACGAGACCTCCATTAGCACAACTTCAGTCTCAGAGACAGCCTTACACGAGACTTCTGCTCTTCCTTTTGAGGCAAGACCATATACAACGTCGGATACAGCTTTTGCATCAACTCTACCTTCAAATACAGAAGAGAGCCAACCTTTGGATTCACTGTTCTTTTCAGTTTCGACTCTTCCTTCATATTCAGCTCCCGATGATAGTGATCATGCATCTTCGCCCACATCACCAGACCGTGTTTCGGTGACCGACGGGAACGTCCTTGGAGAGAGAGAGACTCCTAGTAACAAGTACGAGGAGATAGCCCTGCTGGAAGGAAGTTTACGTCTGACTGAGAGCGAACTCCCACTTCTAAGAGAATTTTTGGGGGAAAACTTTAGTGATGAGCAACTAAGAGAAATTATACTTGAATACACTCGCAGGCTTGAAGAAATATTGAAGCTTACACCAAATGTTAGCGACCTCGAAAATGATCAGTTTGAGGATCTTCGCTCTCGTATGGTAAGCGATGTATTAGATAAAGTAAGGCCAAGCGTATTTATCGGAAAAAAGGTAGAAATGCCACAGGATCACCATGTTTTGGATGACGGTGACCTGCAACAACTGGATAAGAGCGAGACTGAGGTCCATGATTCCGCCATAGAAGAGGACTATGTGAGACATGATGGACCGGTGGAGAATAACATCTCAGGAGGAGACGACACCTACATCATTGTGAGGTTCAGAGATTATATTTTGTTCTACTATAATGCCATTGAACTAGAAAACTTATAATTTTATTAATTTTAAATATTTTAATTAGCTTTGTTAAAATTAAGAGAATGTAATATTGCACAAAACAAATATGTAGTATTTAGACGTTAAATACAGTGTACAGTTTATACCTAACAATGAAGGAATTACTGAATATATTTTTTTTTTTTTAATTTTGATTTTAATTATTTTTTAAAGTCCCCTTTTGTCGCTCGATATATTAAAATAAACTGCCAACATCTTGTAATGTTTATTCCTCAAGCACGTAACATTAGTTTAAGGTTTCACCATTGGTTTCCCATATCCTGCCTCCAACACGTTTTCACTCGCCTTGCTTTTCCATGCTGACACTCCCTATGCTGTACCTTCCAGGTATTCACTCTCTCAATATCTTTAAAACTGTCTTGTATGCATTTTCTCGCACGCACGAATTATGTAGCAATTATATTGAGCAATTTTAGTATTATGTCCCCGCCAAGGAGCCTTGATGGCAGTCAAGGTCTCGGGATCAAAAGAATTGGAGCTACGCTGACTTTTATTGGGCTGAATCAGATTTGTTCTCATTCCTCAGCGCTCTGACCACTGAGTTTCGCGGCCTCTTTACCGCCTTAAGTGTAACAATAGGAATTTGCATTTTTTTTTTGTAGTTTACGTATGTAAATGCAGCTAATGTGATCCAAAAGGAGGACGAGAGACCACTGAGAGCGCTCATTTAGCTGGTTTTCGTACAGTTTACTCAAGATTCTTAGCACTTTTCACACACCGTCCTCACTGTTGTATACACTGTATCACCCATACGGGTTTGGAGCATGTTTAATGAAACTGATTGTTGTATATGAAGTGATGTTCATTTCTACAAACTAGACTTTTGTCAGTCCTCCAGGGAACTTTCTCAAGGCTTGTGAGAAAGGGGGGGGGGTGAAGGGAGCCTCTTGGATCGAACTTAACTGCCTCACATTTCCCCATCAAGCGCTGTATGACACTCCATGGGTTAAGTGCCTCCCCATAATAGCAGCATAGTGCCAGCAGTCAACTGAAGGATATAGACACAGCGTGGTAATGATAGTGGCTTACGTGTTAGTGGTGGGGGGGGGGGTCGGGGGTGAGGGGGAGAAGACTCGGAGGGGACAGGAGGGTCAAGGGGGAGGGTCGAGGAGAACTGAGGAGGGGGTGAGGGAGACTGGAACAAGAGGTTGAGTGGAGTGGCATGCCAGTTGAGCTGCGGGTGGTGGCCCCGGTCAGTCAACACTGTGGGAAGCAGACACGGGTGTGGATAAAGCACCCACACGCCCAACACGGCTGTGGGAGGGACCCAGAACATACCCACACGTCGTGGCAGTGAGCGTGGATAAAGCACCCACTTAAGCCAACTCCTCAGGGTTGTGGATGTGGATCAAGCACCTATTTATTGCCTTCAGTATACTCTCGTTCGCCCGAGAAGAGGCATTCAAAATTATACTAAATGGTGCAATGTATACATGTGGATGTGTAATAGTTCAAAATAAACGTATAAGCGAGCACATAAACATTCTGGACAACGCGTGACGCATGAGCAAATTTCTCTACCCCTCACTGTCCATATTTACTAAGCATTAAATAGGCATCTGTCTGTCTCCCGACAGATCTACAGCGCATCCTGTGGGTGCACGAATGTAGCTCCATAAAGATTGCTCACCAAAAGCAGTGCAACTAGAATGAGATGATTTATCGCTCGCTAGCTTGTACATAATTTTTTTTTCTCTCTCCGTATGTTTCACTAAACGTAAGCCTGTGCCGGAAAATACGTAAAATGTTCATGCGTGTCTCAAGTTTGTCCTAAACTAAGTGTAGTGAAGAGTGTTTTAACCTGTCATAAATGTATAAAATTCATGGTCCATTTGAAGAGTTATAACTGACAATAAGAAATATTTTGTTTGTGTACCTCAGGAACTCAAATCAACATTAACAAAGGTGAAGAAAAGACCTGTACAAAAGACATTTCATTAAGTTTCACCTAAGTCTTTCCATCAATGCCGTGAGTGGTTCTTAATCTAAACAATTGAACCTATCCTCCCTTTTCTTGTATCAGACATGATTGCCGTACATTCCACCAGACTCTGATCCCCACGAATTTTTCTCACCCCGTTAAATTTAATAGAAATAAGAGCAAGGCTCCTCTTGTTAAACGAATCCCTTTTCCCAATTTCTCTGCTCAAACCCACACTCCTGCCAATAATAATCCAAAGAAATATAATTATAACAGAGCCAAAGACACAGGCTGGACAGTCATGATATTTGACTCGATAATATTCCTAATGTTTTATTAAAGCTTGGAAAATCTTTACGTAATAATGATAAACGCATCGGTGTTTTAAGAGATTTGCGGACCAGCTGACTGAACTGTTTCAAACTTTATGGTAACTGTGTATAGGCAGTCTTGCTCTGCAACATAAATATAACTGAAAACAGAAATCCAGCAGCAACAAGTTAGTTAAGCTTCACTGAACTGAAGGTTTGAGGTGCCGAGCTGGTGCGGTATTGTGGTGCTCCTTTATTGTATTATGGCATTAATGTATTGTGGTGCTCTTGTGTTGTATTGTGGTGCCTTGTATTGTTGTGCTTGATTATTTTGGTGGTCACTTAGCATATTGTTGGAATGTTATATTGCTTTGATGTTATGATGATTTGCTATTGCACTCGGGGCTTCAAGATAATTTGCATCGAAGTGTATAACCTATATGGATTTAGTGTTTTAATCTAATGTATCATGAAGGCAAAACGTGTAGAAAAACTACTGAAGAGGCGTTTTAGGAGTGCCTCGAGCAAGAGAATGTATGGTACAAGGGTGTTAGTGTTTTGTAGCACAGTGGTAGCGTGTTAAGTTTACAAGAGGGGAACCTGGTCAAATCCTGGGCAGAAAGAAACGTATGGATAAGTATCCTACAACCATTACCTTTGTTACTTTGCAGTCAATGGATACCCGGGAGGTTTGGGACAACCGTTGGTCACATACTAGGGAGGGAGGGAGGGAAAAAAACTGCAACGGAAGTAAGGCACGGTGTTTATTAACTTTCGTGGGTTATCCTGGCCTTTTAACAGCAATGATGTTACCAGTCTGAATAAAAGCCGTCGTCTTCCTTTGCATGATGCTCTACTGTTGTGCTCTGATGCTGTGTTTTACGGTGCTGCTTGCTTCTAGAACTGGCTTTATGGTGCTCTGGTTTTATTGCGTCGTAGCACTTCGCTTCTCTGGTTTCATGACAGTATCATGCAGATACGATGCTATGAAGTTGATGTGATGACTCCAGCCTCCCCCCCCATCCTGCGCTGCAGACTGTCCTAATACGGCAAGACCCAGCTGGGAATGAGATACTTATATATATATATTATAATATTAATATTATATATATATATATATATATATATAATATATATATATATATATATATATATATATATATATATATAATTATATATATTTATATTTTGCAAAAGTTAGAGATCAAGCGAGCTGTAGGTGCTTGTGTTTGTGAGCAAGTAGTGCACGTATTTTTGCACGTTCACATTGACTTACTAAAGCAGATGTTTGACACGCAGTGGTTCTGTAATTGCCTGTAAATGATTTACAGTTACCTGCAGTTAAACAATTGTTTACAAAATGTTTATTGCTCGTATTTGGTATAACATCACAACATCTAAGATGCAGATGTTTGTACTGGGCACTCTACTATTTATATTTGCCCAAATACTATTTTGATTGCATTTGCCCTGGGCGAGAGGGGAGTGGAGATGAAATAGCCATGGTGGGGGGGATGAGGGGAAGGCTCCTCTTTATCAAAGAAACTGCAGCTACTATCTGTGGATCAAACCTTACTACACCCTAATCCACAGGAGTTCCTGTAGGTTGGAGCTTGAAAATACTGATGTTCATATGATTTGTTCCTTGTATATATAAAATTGAAGTCTTTCATATATATAATGCGCCGAATAGGTAAAACTGGCTTAAATAGCAACGCTCTTCTTGCCGAATAAAGCAAGCGAAAATTTGTGTATGCAATAATTTCGCAAAAATCATTCGGAGCCTAACGAAAAAAATAAATTTCAATGTGTTTATTAAATTATTGTAAATTTACCTAAAACATATTTAGCTGGATTAAGCTAAATTAAATTGCGCTTGTTATAATAAGGTTAGGCAAGTTTTCTAAGGTTCTTTTGGTACAAACATTATTAATTTTTACATTAACATAAATGAAAAAAATATCTGTAAACGTATAAGAGAAAATTTTAGGAAGGACTTAATTATAAATGAATTCTTGCTAATTGACCAGTTTTCCATATTCGGCACGACATATATTTATAAGTTCGTATGGCATATCTGGTTGTAAATGGCAATGAATATATACATTTTTTTATTACCTGCGATTACTAATGAATGACGCCTTTTAGTAAAATTAATATTGATCTGAACTTTGGTGACCTTTGACATATGCTTGACCTTTCTGCAATACATCTGACTCGCAACTAATACATAGTCTGAAGTAGACCTGTACCTATGCTACTACTACCTGTAACAACACCTGTACCTGTAAGTAACAGATATCTAGCCTAGACATGCCAGACATGCACCTTTTCATAACCTCATATGCATGTCATGTTTGCTCTTCTTACATGTATCACATCTCTGCTTTAACTGGGAGTCGCCTTGATGTTAGTGAAAGGATTTTCAAACGATAATTTGAAGCTTTCCATTCTTGGATCAAATCTGATTATATCCCTTTTCCCAGGCTCTATAAGACTCATTCGTTTATAGTGCTTTCCTATCATCATAATGGTCCTATGTCACATGAAAGAACTATAATTGCCCTACAAATGGCCTGTTTTCGACATGCATGCAACCTGCATCTGACCTGTGACTTGAAATGCACTAGAGTTGCACTAGACCTTCACCTGACCTGCTCTAAATCGGTACTACACCTGTTCTCCTTCACAGCCACTTATCATGCTTCTTGGCTCTGCCTGAGGCTCTTACAGCAAGACCTGTTGCGGCTCGCGTGCCCTAGTATGTTTGTATTGACTGTACGTGTGTGTGTGCTGTGGCTGCTTGAGATTAATCATAGTTCCTGGACCCGCTTCCCTATTAATATCCTCTCATTTTTGTCCCCATCCAACTTGCATATAAAGCTAATTATTGATCCTACACCACATCCCTGACGGATCATTCTACCTCATAACTTCCCTGAAATTAATGGCTTCTACGCCCCATT